ATTCTTTATTTTAAAGTCAATTTTATCTGACATGAGTATCGTTACTCCAGATTTCTTTTGATTTCCACTCACATGGAATACCTTTTTCCATCCCCTCACTTTCAGTCTGTATGTGTCCCTAGGTCTGAAGTGGGTCTCTTGTAGACAGCATATATATGGGTCTTGTTCTTGTCTCCATTCAGCAAGCCTGTGTCTTTTGGTTGGAGCATTTAATCCATTCACATTTAAGGTAGTTATCAATATGTATGTTCCTATTACCACTTTCTTAATTGTTTTGGGTGTTTTTGTAGGTGCTTTTCTTCTCTTGTGTTTCCATTAGAGAAGTTCCTTTAGCATTTGTTGTAGAGCTGGTTTGGTGGTGCTGAATTCTCTTAGCTTTTGCTTGTCTTTAAAGCTTTTGATTTCTCTGTTTAATCTGAATAAGATCCTTACCAGGTAGAGTAATCTTGGTTGTAGTTTCTTCCCTTTCATCACTTTAAATATATCGTGCCACTCCCTTATGGCTTGTAGAGTTTCTGCTGAGAAATCAGTGGTTAACCTTATGGGAGTTCCCTTGCATGTTATTTGTCATTTTTCGCTTGTTGCTTTTAATAATTTTTCTTTGTCTTTAATTGTTGTCAATTTGCTTACTGTGTGTCTCGGCGTGTTTCTCCTTGGGTTTATCCTGCCTGGGACTCTCTGCGCTTCCTGGACTTGGATGGCTATTTCCTCTCCCATGTTAGGGAAGTTTTCGACTATAATCTCTTCAAATATTTTCTCGGGTCCTTTCCCTCTCTCTTCTTCTGGGACCCCTATAATGCAAACATTGGTGCGCTTAGTGTTGTCCCAGAGGTTTCTTAGGCTGCCTGCATTTCTTTTCATTCTTTTTTCTTTATTCTGTTCTGTGGCAGTGATTTCCACCATTCTGTCTTCCAGGTCACTTATCCATTCATCTGCCTCAGTTATTCTCCTAACTGATTCCTTCTAGTGTATTTTTCATTTAAGTTATTGTATTGTTCATCTCTGTTTGTTTGTTCTTTAATTCTTCTAGGTCTTTGTTAAACATTTCTTGCATCTTCTTGATCTTTGCCTCCAATCATTCCCCAAGGTCCTGGATCATCTTCACTATTATTATTCTGAATTCTTTTTCTGGAAGGTTGCCTATCTCCACCTCATTTAGTTTTTTTTCTGGGGTTTTATCTTGTTCCTTCATCTGGGTACATAGTCTTCTGCCTTTTCATTTTGTCTATCTTTCTGTGAATGTGGTTTTCGTTCCACAGGCTGCAGGATTGTAGTTCTTCTTGCTTCTGCTGTCTGCCCTCTGAAAAGCCTCTTTTTCCTTGAATGTATGTGATAACATGGAAGTGGAGGGCTGCAGTTTCCACCTGAGCCATTCTTGACTAGCCTGAGAATGGACCATTCTACCCTCATTAAAATGATGGTTGCAGAACTTTTTCTTAATAAAAAGGGAGATATTATGCTTCACAGTTCAGAGGAGAAAAAACAATAACATTAACTTGTTTTTACTATAGGATCTTAATGTAAAACACGCATTGAAAAAAAGAGGGTGAGAACACAGGCAAATGAGCAGTTGCTTCTGGTTAGTCTCTTCAGTATTTGTTTTTGTCCAATTATATGTGCTTTTTGATAAATTCAAATGTCCCTACAAAGAGCGTGCATTACTTTTAAGATCAGAAAAAAAAATTGGTAAGGCTGGAAAAAATTGTTTTAATCAAATTCAAACAGAAGGTAAGCAGGGATAACAATATTAATCTTAGACAAACTAAATTCAAGGCAGGGGGGAAAAAGTATGCTTTTAAGATAAAGGGAGCATTACATAATGGTAACAACCACTGCTAATAGTGAAGCCATTTAGATACAAATCTACAGTTGCCAAAGAAACTGACAACAAGATACAGAAATCAAACATTATTAGGAACACAGGAAGGAGTAGTCATTGTAGGAGGAGATGTTAAAACACCATTATCAAAAAGACTTAAAAAAATAAACTCATAGTCTAGCTAAACACACAAAGTTGATGTCTGGCAGGAATTCAATTTCATGATTATAGAGTAGGGGTATCTTTTCAAATGTGTATAGAACATATACAAAATTTGTTAATACTAGTCACAAAGAAAAAAAATGTTAACTTCCTCTTCCAGTTAAAGAGAAGGCACTTCTAGCCTGGAGAAAATATAGAGGCTAGAGCTGGGGAAAGAAAACAGGGAAACAATATTAATGTAGACCACTCTGGGTTCCCCAGGTATCTCGGGGGACAGGGGAGGATGAATGGGAATTAACTTTATGATCAGACCGAAACAAATACCTCTTCCCTACTTTTTATCACCCATTAAACATCTTCATTTAGACCTGAAGTGTGAACCACTGAAATGGTACTTAACCCAGTGGGTCTCAAAGTGTGGTCCCTACACCAGCAGCATCACTGGAGAACTTGTGAGAAATGCACATTCTCAGACCCACCCCAGACCTCTTGATGCAGAACTTCCTCCAGGTCAGGGTTCCAGGAGGTTCTGATGTGAAAGCATCTGATGCTAAAGGTGTATATAAATACTCCAGCTCCCTCACCCTTGAGCAGGTCAACTCTTGAGGGGTGGGTTTTACGCTGGCTTTGCCTTCCCTTCCTTATCCTACTTCCCCACTCCTCTAATGATGCACTTTACCTCCCAAATAAACTAATGCACTCAAATCTCAGTTTCAGGGGCTGTTCTGGGGGAACCCACACTAAGACATCTACTGGAGACCCCCATTCTCACAGAGCTTGTGTTCTGGTTGAGACTGACCTATTCTTCCATTTCTTTCTCTTGGGCTGGGTCTGCTGAGATTTCCTCGGGGAAAGGAGCCCCACTGGTAGTGAGTCCTTACCCCAATTCAGTCCAGCACCTACTGTTTGCTTTCTTCTCTGGGTCTGCTAGCTCTTCTCTGCACCACCTCTGGTCACTTCGTTGCTTGCCCCCTGCTAGCCCTTTCCCAGCCCTATTCAGCTTCATCATTTACTCCCTGGCTAGGCTGTAACAGGGAAGAACAAATCTGACTCCATATTAGATCTGTTCCTTTTACTTTAACCTTTGTGCTCTGTTGCCTGTGTTTAGTCATGCTGGCTCTTCACCTTTTGTAAAAGAATGTTGTCTTTAGCCTGATATACAGGATAGCCTATTTTCAAGGCTCTGACCTTTAAGGGTATAACACTTTTCCACTCATGTAGTGATAAAGAGTTGCAGAACAGAATAACATTTGTCTTGGAGGTTTAGAGGAACATCCTGACCTGGCCTACGTGGACAACTACAAGAACAAAGGATTCTGACACCGAGAAGTTTGCAACAAGTAATCATGGCCTTTTAAAGTGCTTTGCTGAAATCCTTCAAGGAGTTTGGGGGTTTTTTTGGCATGAGCCACCTGTCTCCTTGAATGGCCCTGCAATAAGCCTTTCCCTGCTCCAAACCCTGACATTTTGGGTTGTTTGGCCTCACTGTGTGTCGGGCACACGAACTTGTGTTCGGTAATAGGGTGAGACTCACAGAGGGCTGGCTACCAGCCAGGCCCTGTGAAACCAAGTCCTGCCCGGTACTGGGAGTCCAGCTATGAAAGGCACAGCGATCTCATGTGCTATGTGCTACAGGAGGATACAGGGAGCTGAGGCAGCACAGAGCAAGGGTCTTAGGATGTCAGCAAAGGAATCTCCCAGGAAGTGACACATAGGGAACACCCGGGGGACGAGAGGGATTTAGCCAGCACATGGAGGGGGGAAGTAGGAGTCAGGATTCCCTGCAGAGGGTTTGGAAGTACTTCTGAAGCCAGAGGTCTGCAGGGGCACACAGAGAGGCTGCAGAGAAGGCCACTGTGAGCCATGACTTTGCCGGCTGACTTAGAGGCTTCAGGGAACTGAAAAAACCTCCTTCTCCCAAGAAGACTCTCCATGTAAGTTTTAAAATAAGGATGTGAAAAATCCAGCAAATGACCCATTAGTCCTCAGAATCTGGAGGCCCGGGAGATGGTGGTGCCCTGATGGGTGTAATGCTGGGTCCAGACCCACTCACACACTTCACTGCTAACCATCAGCTGGTCCAGAAGGGTCTGGGGGCTTCAACTCCTGGGCCGATGAAACGTGAGCTCATCGGAGCTGCTAAAGATACTCAGGTTTCCAACAGGACCCATGACGCCGTCCTGCCTCTTCCTCACCCTCTCCTGACCGGGGAGCACGGGGTAATCTTCTACTGATCACACCGAGAGCAAGGGGTTCAGCTTGCTCCTAATCTTTCAGTTGCTCAGAAGATAAGCCTCCTTGGCCTTAAGCATGCACACTGGCTGCCCTTCTTTGATGTCATCGGCTTGTGTGGGTTTCTCCCTGCAGTGAATTTTTTAGGCTGGGATCCAACACAAAGGTACAATTGGCCAAAGCAAGCCCCCTACCACCACTTTCACACTAGGCCTCCGTCTCCAAGGACTTCAAAGGAGTTCTGATATTGTCATATAACAAATACAAAAAGTATTTGTTATATTTTTTAATTGAGCCATCATTCCTAGTAGAACTGAACTCCTAAAGACCTGCAAACCCTGTGCATTTCTACCGACAGTCACTTTGGGCACAGTGGCCCAGAGGGGAATTCTCATGTATGATCAACAGTTCCCATCACAAGATAGAATTTCCCTTTTTCTTCTGCCTCTGGCGAAAGGACCAAGGAGATGCGATGGGGGGTGGGGATCGCGGAGGAATTCAGCTCTTCAGTGTCATCTGCTTTCGGTAACAGGAAGAGGGGAAATGAGTCCAGACACATAACCAGTAGTTTATTCTTCAGAGCCCTAGAGAACTCAAGGACTAATTAACTAGTGTTTACCTGGATTTCTTCCCCCCAAACAGCCCCCCATTCTCCAGCTATGCCCCAGGGACAGGAGACAAAGTCACTTGGGCTCAGGATGGAATGAAAGTGACCCTTCCCCCCGCTCACATCGTGTGCTTGCACTGTCTTCTCCAACAATTGCATGCAGGTTGGCGGCCCCCATACCTTCATCACTGTTGTCATCCACCAGGATGATTTCCTTCAGCAGGTGGGTCGGTGTGTGGTTGACCGCGCTGTGAACTGACCGCAGGATCACCGACAGGGCCTCGTTCACGAAGATAAATATGATGGATATCTGGGGCAGCTCCTCGGAGAACTTCAGCTCCTTACACCTGGGGGAAGACAGCAGGGGACAGCAGAGTCAGAGGAAGGAGCAAAGCACAGGCATTGCAGCTGTACACGGTAAGGCCGTCAGCCCAATCCTGGTACACGTCCTCCCAAGGTGAGAATCGTTGGTTCCCTCTTGGCCTCTCTGGGCTAATATCTGAGAATAAAACCTAAGGAGGAGACAGTTAAGAAATCCAGCTCCACTTCTCCCAAATGTACCACCCCACAGGAAGGAGGAGCATTAGTCTTGGGCACACATCGCCAGTCTCCCAGGCTGCCACGTCCACACGCACCCCCGGTCTCACTTCAGAGCACACCTGCCCGACTTCCCACTCCAGGCTCCCGCATTTCCTTCCTCAGAGCCCACTTTGCTGCCTTCTGGGCAACTGCCTCACCCCCATCACTTCTCATCCAGAGGCAGCTGGGAGATGATGTATAAATACCCCAGCTCCCTCAGCCCTTGAGGTGGTTGACTCTGAGGGGTGGGTTTTACACTGGCTCCCAGAGTTTCCCCCAGCGGGATTAAGCTCCATCACCCACGGTAGCAAGCTGCATAACACCCTCTTTGGGGGACACCTTCCCTTCTCAGTCCTACTTCCCCTTAGTGGTGCCCTTTTCACTGCCCATATAAACGAATGCACTCAAATCTTTGTTTCAGGGTCTGCTTCCGGGAGAACCCAAACTAAGACATCTATCGGACCTACCCAGTACCCAGCACTGTACAGGAGACCTTTGCTCTCATGGAGCTTACACTCTGGGAAAAGACATGAAACACACATGAAATGTATCATCATCAAGGAAGAGGGGCCTCTACCTGCTAGGACCGTGCTGCCTGACACACCCTGACTCTTCTTGCAAGCGTTCCTAGAATCTCCCTGGGGACTAGAAATGTGACCACCTGCCTAAGAGGTCCTCCCTTCTAATATCCAGCAACTCCCCCATACCTGAAGACAGGGTGAAAGAGAAGAATGCTTTTCATCCAGGCTGGACTCAGGGGCGTAGGGCTTGGGCCTCCCTGGGGGCGCCCAGTGATGTAAGAGGTGACTGGTACCCAGGGAACCGGCTCTGCATGACTCAGTGATGGAAGCACCAGCACTCTGGCCTGGGGAATGTGGTTTTATGCATAGTCTGAGCCGCATCAGAAATACCAAGTGCCAACAGAGCAGAATGGAATACAGAGCTAGCGCATTTCAATGCATCCCCCGCCTCTCTGTGTGAGACTGTACGGTATACGGCACAATGCGTTCCAGAGCAAAACAGAGGGAATGGAGTGAAAGGGAAGCAGCACTGAAGAGACAGCAAGAAATACAGCTGTTTTTTTATGCTGAACAGCTTGGGCTGTGTTGGGCCATATTAATCATGTAGGCAATTTTCAAAAGAAAATAAAGTTTTGTTACAATATACATTTGTGTCTCCTAGAGGAGACCATCCAGGGATCCACTGATCATGCAGCCTCATTTTTACCTCGATGTTGTAAATTCACTTCTGGGGGCTGCCGAGGAGATTAGAATGGTTATTGATGGGCTCACAGGCAGTTGGCGGGGATCATCTCATTTACTGCGTGGTGAGCCGGGGGAGGAGGGTGCATCCCGGAAGGTCCCTCGGAGCCTCCCTGACAGGGCCGGCAGCCATCCTGAACCTGGCAGGCTAGCAGCTGCTCCTCAACATACACGCGAGCACCCCGCCCGTACACACGTACCTACTCTGACATGCACTCCTGGGCCTGGTTTCCTTCTTTCTTTCTTTCTTTTCTGGCTGCACCACTCGGCATTTGGGATCTTAGTTCCCTGACCAGGGATCGAACCCGTGCCCCCTGTATTGGAAGCGGGGAGTCTTAACCACTGGACCACCAAGGAAGTCTCAGGGCCTTTTGTTTTTAAACAGATTCTGGCCCTTGAAATTAAGAAGACAAAAAGGCCAAACTGCATCGTACCAGCACCGTCTTCTCCAGCTACAGGCAATGGGGTCAGGCTGCCATTAACGCTGAGTGCTGGGTTAAGCCTCTTGGCCGGAGAAGGCAATTCCCTCTGCTGAGATGGGAATCATGGGCCCCCGGTCCTGCCCCTTCACGGTCGAGGTGGCCATTCAGTAAATCATGGGGGAATCTCAAAAGCAAGAAGCTCTCTGCCACACATTGAACCTGTCACCCTGGGCACAGTGCTCATGTTTTTTTCATCTCTAAAACTGTCAAAATACTCCTCACTGTATTTAGTTCTAGGTGCCTGGCTAAGGTCCTCATAAGGATCAGGTGAGACCAGCCTTTGAGAGCCCTGGGAAAATGCAATGTACCAACCGATAGAAAGACCAGCCTGCCTGCCCGGCCCCTCCATCCTCCCTCCTGCCTCCTCTGATCCCTTTTGTAGATTTCCCATTACCATGGGCCAGGCTTCCAGAGTTTTCACTCAACCCAGACCCTGCAGGACCCACCCAGGACTCTGCTCCCTCAAAGGGCTTGGGCTCCAACCTCGCCCAGCTCACAGCGATTCACCTTTCCTGTGCCCAACGTCTCAGGGGTTCCCAATAGGCAGACAACAGGAATACGGTCATTATGAAAATCAACATGGTTTTGTTGATCTCGAGAGGCAGACTCTATCTTAAAAAAATCTCTAAGCCTGGCTTATGGCCTGATATGCAGGAGCGGCCACAGTATGCTGGACAGATAGAAAACTGAGGCCGTAAACACCTGCTGTAAAGAGGAGACATACACTGAAACATACATTACTTCCGATCAGACACCCAATGCCCAAGGCAGCAGGTGAGTGCGGGAAGGGAGATTAAGGATGGATGATGAAAAGGAAACAGGGAGGCCACACAGGCCTTAGAAATACTAGAGACTGAACAGAGGAAGAGAACAGGTACGGCTCCTGCCCCTGGAGTTGATGCTGGACCAATCCTCCCTGTGGCCTGATGATGCTCAGATGGTGCTTCCAAACGACACAGATCTGGGTATCCCACACCCTGCAGACTAGGGCTGACGTGAAAGAAGCATCCCCCCCACCATTTCCGAGTTCCTGCAGAGCTGACCAGGTGGACGGTGCTCAGTGCCAAGGTGCTGTGCAATGGCCCACAGGCAGGCAGATTTTGGGAAGGGAGCCGTCAGCTCAGCTCAGCATCCAGCCTTGTCTTTATATCATGGAACATACAGAATCAGATATGTTTCCTGCCTCCCCGACTGCAAAATCCAGGTGAATGAGAGAAACCCGGAAGGTCGTGTGGATAAAAGAACAGGTTCCAGATTTGAAAGATACCTGGGGAGAGGCCGGCAGGCCACAGAAAATGCAAAATAACTAAAAATCCACAGGGCTTTGTGTGTGTTCTCTAGAAACAGACTCAGAGATGGGTCCCAGAAATCACACATTTGCTTTCAATAACTAGTCAGTAAGAAATAAAAAATCTTGGGACTTCCCCGGTGGCGCAGTGGTTAATAATCCACCCGCCAATGCAGGCGACACGGATTCGAGCCCTGGTCCGGGAAGATCCCACATGCCACAGAGCAACTAAGCCCGTGCGCCACAACTACTGAGACCGCGTGCCACAACTACTGAAGCCCGTGCACCTAGAGTCCGTGCTCCACAATAAAAGAAGCCACCACAGTGAGAAGCCCGCGCACCACAATTAGAGAAAGCCCACGCGCAGCAATGAAGACCCAACGCAGTCATAAATAAATACATTTATAAAAGAAAGGAAAGAAACAATCTTTTGTCTGAAAGGTAATGGTTGGCGGGAAAGCTATCTCAAGGTCTGGGTCAATTCCAATCAAAGCTCCAGGCCAGGAGGGGAGCTACAAAGAAATTCAAGACCAGGTTCCTCTCCTCAAAGGGCTAACAAGGGACCAGATTCTGTGAAGCTGTCCTCACAGAGAAAAGATGGCAGAGACCAATAAGCAACCACGTGACGTCTCTTAGACACCTTACCACTGTCCATCTGTCTATCTGTCCGGGAGGCCTTCTTTCTTGAACTCCGGAACTGCCTAAGAGTAACCACTGTCCCCCCTCCCTCATCCTGATCACCCCGGAGTCACTGGCATTGACTTCACTTAGCACCAAAAGTGCCCATGCTCTTCCTTCACTGATGCTGAGTAAGAAGAGTTTGGGAGACTGGGCCGCCTCTGGGAACACACTAGAGTCAAGTGCCACGATCAAGGGTCAAGGTCTCCAGCAGGGAAGAAATCAAAGCCCAAAGAGACGCCCACATCCTCTCAGAAGCAGAGCCCTGCCCACGAACACCTCTGAGGGAAACAAGTTCTATGACCCCAATGTGATACAGGTAAGAGGTATCAAAACACACTTGTGACCCAGTCTGCCAACCTGGAAACAGAAAGAGGACCCCAGGGCTTCCCAGGTGGCTCAGTGGTTGCGAGTTCACCTGCCGATGCAGGGGACACGGGTTTGTGCCCCGGTCCGGGAAGATCCCACATGCCGCAGAGCGGCTGGGCCCGTGAGCCATGGCCGCTGAGCCTGCGCGTCCGGAGCCTGTGCTCCGCAACGGGAGAGGCCACAACAGTGAGAGGCCTGCGTACCACAAAAAACAAAAACAAAAAAAAAGAGGACCCCATAAGATCCCCATCATTGTAAAAATATTTAGATGCAACCTCTAGGAGACTCAGAAGATCACAGATAATAATGTTGATAATAATAACCAACACTTCATAGTACAGGTGCCAAAAACTGCTGGAAGCTTCCCTGTGCTGTACTATCTCATTTAGCATGAACAACAATCCTATAAGGTAGGCAGTATTTTCATCCTCGTTTCACAGCTGAGGAAACTGGGGCACAGAGAGGTGAAGTCACTTGCCCTAAGTCACACAGCAAGTCTGAAATGCTGCAGGGGTGCCTGGACGTGAACATCACCATCTGACTTTTAGACTCTTGCAAACGCCCCTGCGTGCCCAAGGCAGGGTGTGGTAGCTACAAGAGACAAGTCTGTACACAATTTCCAGCCCAGCCCCTTCCTAGCTGGGGGGCCTTGGCTAACTTGTTTGGTCTCTCTGAGCCTCAGCTTCCTT